CAAGGGGTGAATATTGAGAAATTTGAGATTGTGGACCAGAAGTCAGTAGATCCATCGTACTGAAATATTAAAATTCACGTGGACTTATTGTTCGAACGATGATGCAGTGAAACATTAAGAAATTCAATAAACGTCGAACTACGTCTACCGAAACGTCAGAATTCATTTAGAAGTTCCCCTTTATTGTTCGAACGATGATGCAAGTGAAAACTCCGTGCAACGCGATAAACAGATTTTCGTCGCAGTCGCACGGACGGATCGTTTATCGGGCGATAAACAAATGGCAGACGCGCGATAACCGAGCGCGCTCGTTAACGATCAACAACGATGACTCAATAGATTCGCACGCGAAACGTAACACTTCGGCGACCTTAACTGGAAATCGACTATTACGTTTCTATTAATTATAGAAAGCGATAAGTCGCCGGTGAAAAGAAGCGTTACATCGGTATCGACAATTTCCTATTAGATAGCGATCAATTAATCTCCCGAATAGACGAACACGATCGAACGCTGCGAATCGATTGGAAATCTCGCGAAACACGGCCCGTTCGACGCGAGAAACAAATTCTCGCGTTTCCTGTGGGTCGTTTTCTAGAAAAGGAGGATCCTCGATTCATCCCCCTCCCCTCCGGCGTGGAACCAAGGCCCACGCATTCCAGCCAACCCATTTCCCCTCCGTGCGTAACCTTCGGCCGTATATACGCGGGTAAGCGTGTTTTTTCCCCGAGGGCATCGCTCGCGAGCAAACGTAAAACAGAGCCGAGGGAGGGATAAGGTTACGCACGTGCGAGTTTTCGCTGGATTACCTACGCGGGGACGGTGATGCGGTCCCGCGGTTTAATCGTTTCTCCGGCCGTGCGCTATTTATACGCGATTCACCGGTGCCCTCCAGCTCGCCACTTTCGCCGACCGACGAAAGCGAGGAGCAACCCCTCACCTCGATTTCTTTCACTGCTGGATCGGATTAGCTTCTCGTCTTATCGTATCCCGCTGGACTCGCGATATAGACTTCGAATAAATCCAGCGGTCGAATGTCGGCATTTTGAGATCGAACTTCCATGTTCGGAACACCAAGTTGCAAATGATTTAACTGTTCCATTATTCTCTACGATTTAATTATTCAGCGTTTAACCTATGTCAGACTCGACATTCTATTTTATTGCAACCTCTACTTGTTTTTACAATTTTTTCTATATTTATTTGTACCATTTAAAGGTAACACTTCAGTGGCTCCCGAATATTCTTGAATAAATAGAGCGTCGTATTAAACTGTAATTGAAGGAACTAATAGCGACGTGAACCTCAAAGTGAAAAACCAAGAGCACTTCGGACCGCAAAGGGTTAATTTAGCAGAATCTGCGGAAGGTTTTGTGTACTAGAACCAATCTTCGTCCGCAAAGGGCTAGAACTACCGGTCAAGCTGACCAATTTTCAAGATTATTAGCTTGCAACCATCGAAACACTTGCAAATGATCGGTGTGTTTGTATAAATACGGCGCATTATATCTCGAGGAATACTGTTTTCCATTTTCTTCGGACAATTTGGAACAGTCTAATTTCTCGGTAGTTTTGGTGTTAAGAGATGTGAATGTTATGTTCACTTGAGTTGAAGTTGAACGTTGTTTTCTTGGCAATTTTGAAGTTTTAGAGTAGACGTAGGATGAATAGAGTTTTTTATGGTGTTAGTAAAGAATTGGCCAAGGGGTCGGTTTAATTTACCTTACTTTGCGAGAATTGGAATCAGAAAAATGTTCTCTTTAGTTAAAAAATTTGTTTTCCGGGGGAAAGATTTAAGTGGAAATTTGGATGTAGTTCGAGGTAGGTTGCTGTAAGTAATTTTCACGGCGAATGTTACGTAACAGGAAACGTACATGTTAAAGATCTCCGCTTATCGAGTAGATTTACATTTTCCAGGAAGTCGTTACTCACGATTGCGTCGCGGATGTTTATGCAAATTCATGATTTCAATGTTATTAACAGACCGATGACGAACGGTCAGTTTCGTTGAGCTTTATCTTCGGTCGCCCAGTATTCTGATTCGCTTTCCCGCGGATTGTTGCGGCGGGCGTTACATCGTAACATCCGTGCGAATGTAAATTATATTATAATCGCGTACGTCCCCCTTACTCGGTGCCTGTATGGAAATTCTTGGCCGAGAAATCGCCCGGTTTGCAGGTTAAGGACTAATTAACGAGAAACAAAGGAGGCTGACGGCAGCCTCGATGAAAAAGGAGTTCGCCAAACCACGAAAACGCGAGATCGAAGGCCTCCAAGGTTTCTCAACCCCTTACCCGTCGCGAGCCGATAAATAGGCTAGGTTTCGTCATACATTATCCTATAAATCGGCTTTACACACAGACCAGTTGGTCTGGTCTATATATAAGCCCGCTATCCATTTAACCCCTTGCCTCGTAATACCAACCGAGGCTCGTAACGAAGGTCTCAATCTCCATTTTACAAACATAAATATCCTTAATCTCCTCGCGGTCGAAACCCAGTGCCATTCTCCGCTATCAATAACCGATGTTCAAAGCGAACGTGCACTCTCGGAAAAACGAAAATCTCTCCATCTAATCATCGATCGAAATTACCAACTGAAAACGCAATTCCACCGGTTGCAATCGATACTCCCGAGATCAAGCACACTACCGGAACTCCGCACCATCTATTACGATCATCGCACAGTGCCAAACGACCGTTTCCTGGAGAAAACTCGATAACTTAAAAAGTACGAGTGCTACAAGCGATTGCTCCAGACCAAAGTTGTATAGAGCTGAACGTATGACTATATTTTGTTTACATCATATGGATATTTCCGTTTCGATTCCACGGTTACATAGAGAAACGGAATTGATTAGCACAGAATTGTTCCCCAAATTAAACTCGCACAGCGACTACTCAGCGGCACATTGCTAAGCAATTTTCCATACACGAATGGGCAAACTTCAGGGGTACGTCCAGCGTGCGTCGCGTCTATTCCACCCCTTCCCGCGGCGCGGCGATCCCCTAGTTCCCGGGG